GATTCCATCTACCACTTTTCCCGCGAAGTAATATCGGTGCATATGCAAACTAGTCTTGTATAGCCTTTCTATCGTAGAAGTAGATTGAAATGACAGTTTGTGGGCACCTGTCGTGCGGTTTGATCAAGGCCTTCTGGAAATGCCCTAGTTTTTCTGTTTGGTATTCTGAATAATTGTCATTGATTGTAGCACATCATCTTGCACAAAGTTTTAAGGTAGCTAGAGGTGCCCAACGTAATAGAAATCACTTTCTGTGCTTGGTATGCAGCAGGACCATACACACTTGGACAGCACAATGGATGAATTTTTTGTTTATTTTTGTTCTTTAATACTCTGTGGCTTATCTTAGTGAAAATAATGCAAAGTAGCTTTTATGAATCACGTAATTGTAACTGTAATTTGATCATGCACAACTCAATAAATGGTGAACTAATCGTTACTCAATGTTCCCTTGTGATTGCAGAAAGCAATGTCCCATTATAAGAGGCAGACAGAAGTCTCTAGAGTTATAAATGAAGAGAAGCTCTCACTTTTGAGCATGAAGGTTGAGTCCATTCCTAAATCGAATCAGGAAGAATTGAATGAAGAGAATGATAAAGTTGAGGAGCTGTCTTCAGCTGGTGATATGCAAGACACTGAAGATGATCCTCCAAACTCTAACGAGGTGGTTGAGCATCCAAATTGCTCTCCGATGATGGAAGGGAGTTCTAGGAACCTGCATCAGGAGCTCAGTGTACCTGTTATTATGAACATAATGGAGGAATCAGAAGAGTTGATTCCTGCCTCGGACCAGGTCAACAGGGATGTGGATATGGATTCAAATCTGGAGATGCAGGAGCATATTGCCGAGAACCATTTATCCATGGATGATGAAGGATCCGGTACTCATTTGCTTGCTGGGATTGAAGAGGTGCCTATGGAATCTGCAGGTAATGTTCAGGAACTGGAGTCATTTTCTACTAAATGTGGTACCTTACTTAACTCTGACATGCCGTCTGAGGCATGCGAGGGAATAATGCCAGAGTCTGAGTACGGGATAGTAAATTTAAGCCGGATACATAATTCTCCTGAAAGTACACATTAAAACAATTTATTTTTCTCAAAGTTCTTGGAATGCCATTTCGTATTTCCAATCTCCATCATCCATGTTTGCTGTTCGGTGCTCTTCATTGATAAGATTAGTGTTTTTTTCAGTTCTATTTACTCCAATTTTGTGCCCAGATGTGAAATTTCGGCCTCTCGTTTGATTTTCGTCGTGGTTGCGACTTAATTTTTGGTCTTATAATATAAAAATAAGTCATTTTTGATTTTCAACCCGTCCTGTTTCAAATTTATTTAAAATAAAGCTTAGCTTGTAAGTTGAATTCGGCATCCTAATGTTCTTTATTACCTCAACATGCATTACCTTAACATTTTTTTTTTAAATCTCATTGAATAGAAAAAATTAAAAAAAAAAAAATAATGAGTGTTGGAACTTTGTCTCTCAAAGCAGTTCATTTGGTTCTCTTCTCCTCCTCTGCTTCTTTATTGAAATAAGCGTTGCAGATAAATATACTGTATTATGTGCACATTCGAGTCTAACAATTTGCATTAAATTATTGCTTTAAGTCTAGTCGAAAACAATGACTACCGTTTTAGTCGCTCAATTTTTATTTTTGTTAATTGAGAATCTCTGAGAAAAAGATTTTGATTCTTCTCTTTTGCAAATTCAAAATTGTCAATTTATAGTCAAATAAAAAACACTATTAATTTGGCACTGAATATTCACATCATTTAATTTACTAAGTGAATTTGATTGCGAATTCTAATGGCTACCTTAAACTCCATTTGAGAATTGATCTTTCGAATTAATTTTTATGTTTTAGCATAAAAACATTTCCTTTTGATGATGGAAAATGAAAATTTTTCAGAATGAACTTGAATCTTATAATTTGAAAATTTGAGTCCCAATTTGGTTTTGGTAAAAAAAGTTGATAAAAAATTAAGTAAAAGTCAATAATTAACTTTAACTACAAAATTCATGTGATCAACAACGTTTATCAATTTTCAAAATATATTGAAAATTTAATTTTAGCATAACTATATAGGACTATTGAAATAATAAAAGATTATCAGCCTTGTTATATGTACGTATTTGTTGACAAAAAGTACGAAAAATAATGAGGTGATATGTAGTTTGACCATTTATTTGAATTCACACAGTAGATGTAGAAGTAGCTTAATTGATCTAATATTGCTGCCGGTTTCCCTCTAAATTTAATGCTTTCGTAACATCTAATAAATTAATACAATTAATAATATGATATAATTTTGAAGCTGAGATGTTGCAATTTGATTAGTCCAATATGAACGTATGGGTTATCAAATTTGGTTCCCGACGCAAATGCTTTCTTTGAGTCAGTTGGAATAGATCTGGAAAGAACTACAGTCTTCATCTCACTTAAAATTTTGAGACACACACACACACACCTGGTCTCTTCATGGTGACGAATCCTGCTGCAACGAATGTGAGCTATTGTAGACCAATAAATGTAAGAATATTTTCATTAAAGTAAGAGTTTCTTAAAAATTATCGGAAAAATGCGATCAGCCCCACAAGATTGTTTTCTTGTCTATGGATAATGGATATAGCAATGAGTAGATTCTAGGGAGGCTACTCTTCTTTTTTCTCAATCGAGCCATTTTCGATGTAATATCCCCAACAATCTTAAGACAACGTTTATCGTGCTAATTTATATTATGTTAATAAATTCGTTTACCTACATATAGCACTGCAGTCTTTATATGAACTTACACGGAACACCTCTCTCTCTCTCTCTCTCTCTCTCTCTATGTACTTTCTTTAGGAAAGAAGCCTAACCACTATTCCAACCAAAATGGGAATGGGCTAGGGTTATTAACTGGTGAGCAACGAGAATATCAGATATGGCACAGATTTATTTGTGCCCAGAACAACAAATATTTCGACTCTTTTCTCTACCTCAATTGAGAGAATTCATGGCTTCTTCTTTCCATATCCCAAATCTTGAAGGACCTCTTCTTCATAAATCCCACTTTCTCGGTCATCCCAATTTCTCTAGGGTCTATTTGATTGCAAAAATGGAATTTGAATGGAAATAAAACGAATTCCAAGAAATTGAATAGCGTAAAAATTATTTTCCTGAGAATTGTAAATGAGTCATGCTATTGCAACAGAATGCTCAACAGATGGCTTGACAGAACACACACAAGCACATGGGGGTCAAAATTTTTTATTCAAGTGGAACCCGCGACAATGTGAGGTGTAGTCACCCCTTCTGGCAAGCTTCTTCTGGCAGTTCAATAAAATCTATTGTAAATTATTGTGTTTGATTTGTATAATTTTTCACGTGAAAAATGTTAAAATGAAAGTATTTTTAATGTTCGTTTGACTTTGTTTTACATGAAAATTTTCAATTAAGGGATAAAATTTACTGAAATTTGGGATTAAATTTGTTTCAATTGCAAATAAATAAATAAAATCATCTATCTTTTGGTGTTCGTTTGACTTTTTCTTACATGAAAATTGTCAATTAAAGGAAAACATTTTTTTACAATAATTCTTAAAATTTGTTTCCATTGCAAAAAAAAAAAAAGTAATAAATAAATAAAAATTTGTTACAGTGATCAAGAATTTCAATTCTCACCATTTTGGTGAGAACTCCAATTTTTCAATTTCATGGAAAATGATGACGTGGCTAGAAAGTGGGAATTTCAATTCTATGAAAAATTTTGGACAATCAAACAATTAAAAGTTGGAAAATGGAATCCTTTTCCTTGGAAAAAGTGGAGTAATCAAATTGTGCGAAGGGTCCGTTTAATTACAAAGATGAAATTTTGGTAGAAAGAAAACAAATTTCATGAAATTGAATTGCTTAGAAATTGTTTTATTGGGAATTATCAATTAATGTTTGATTTGTATAATTTTTCACGTGAAAAATGTTGAAATAAAAGTTCTTTTTGGTGTTCCTTTGACTTTATTTTACATGAAAATTGTTAATTAAAGACATATAATTTACTGATATTGGAGATAGAATTTGTTTTCATTGTCCAAAAAAAAAATCAAGAAAATCATCTATCTTTTGGTATTCATTTGATTTTGTTTTACAAGAAAATTATTAATTAAAGGAAAATATATATATATATATATATATATATATATATATTTTTATAATTAGGGATAAATTGTGTTTTCATTGCAAAAAAAAAAATTAGAAAGAAAGGGCAACAGTAGCGTAGTGGGAATTGATTTTCAAGGAAAAGGGAGAAAATGTCTAGTGGCAAGAAAAGTGAGAAAACCAATTACCTGGAAAAAAAAATGCTATCAAACAGTCAAAAAATGAAAGTTGAAATTTGAATTCTATTTTTCAGAGAAAATAATGTGCTATCAACAGGCCTAAATTCATTCATAAATCAATCTCCGTAATTCCAAAACAATCCTCAGCTTTCAAATCTACTCCCTAAGCCAAATTCAACCACTATGAGATATTGGGAGGTAGAGGCCTCTGCGATGGAGGAGGCCTCCAACAAGAATTGAAAAAATCTCCCACCATCCTGGAGGCGGCGGCAGCACCACCAGTGTACAACCCTTGAGATCAAGAAAAGCAACAAGCAGCAGCATCAGAAATATCTGATATGGATTTGTAAAGGAGTTACTACTGGTGGATTTCCAAGTGGCGAAAAAGGACTTAAAAGTTCATTGAACAAAATCGGCCCCTTAAAAAGGGAGGATCATCCATTGTTTACTCCAAGCTTTGTAAAGAAGCCTAAAGCACCAGATTTGCCACGTTTATTGCCAGGAACGATAGCCATTGTCAAGAACTCTAGCAACCACTTTTACATGTACTTTTGTATTGTCCAAAAAATTACTGAAGGCAAGGCTGGGTTTCTGGTTGAAGGTGGAAATTGGGATATACTCAAGAAAAACCGGTGGTTTCTTGGTCACGATCAGTTACAGCAAAAATTTCATGAAAGAACGTTTCCATGTTGTACAACCACTTCACAGAATATAAGGATTTCAAGAGGCTGATCTTGAACTACAATTCAACCACGAATACTTTCGCTTAATAGGATATTTTTGGTGGAGTCACGCTCCAGCTTGACGAACTAGAATGTCATGAAAATGGGACACCGATGGTGAACCCCAGGTCTGCTATCCTTGAGAGCATGGTAGAGAAGAACATTTCGTGATGTAAAATTATGTTCACCTATTATGAGATCTTGCATTCACAGTACTTTTTGCACAATAATACATAATCAGCAACTTAACTGGGTTATTTAGCCTTTTTTTCTACAAGTAGGGCATGTTTGATATTCGATATCTTTTGTTTTCAAACGAATGAAAATGAAATGTAATGTGATCAGTGTCAAGCCAGAAATTCATTCACTTCCATAATCTCCAACTTAATCCAAATCAGGACAAGAATAGATAACTAATTCACGTATCTTATTTCCTCTCCTTTTGTGTACAAACAATCAATCAACGAGATAGCAGGCTCATAAAGTTTCAAGAAAAAGGACTCAAGTCGGAATTCTCCAGACATGAAAGGATGGATACGAAAGCCAAGAACTAGTTATAATGTTGTTCTTCAATGCAAGATTCCGTGAGATGTTCAGATACAGCCGCCCAACTGTCAGATGAGAAAATGATCAACAAATAGTAAGGGAAAGAGCAGTTGATAAATGCCAAAGCAAAGATTTGAGAGCAAAAAACAAAGACCAATTGTCACTCATTCAAGATTTGGATTCTAAATGAAGTGAGGATATATGTACAGGTGCAAAACTGTGCCACTAAAATTGCTAAAAAAAAAATCCTCAATGGATAGCAGTAATATTCCGACCAACCACCAAAATTTCAGTTGTTTTATACCACAACTGAAATACAATGATAAATCTCCTGGATATTTAAATGCTTCAATGGAATGCAACCGGCACATTGATAATAGAATAATTAAAAGTGGATTTTCGCCATTAAGTATTAATTAAATCAAATCGAGGCTAGCTTAGTTCACCTCACATCCATTTCTTGAAACATCGATTTCTTTGATATTTCTTTCCGAAGAAGAAACGAATAAAAAAAATATGGCGAAAGTGGAAACTTTGGTTTCCAAGTGTGTGCTTTGAGACCAAGAGGTGATACTAAATTAGTAAATCCATAATATTCCTATAGTTATATGTACTCGACCAAAGTTTTCAAGGTGTGTTTTGAGACCAACAACTGGAAGAATTGACAGGAGAAACTTTCAAGCAAAACGTGGTCTGAAAGACTAAGAGATGATAAATTAATAAACCCATAATATTCCTATAGTTATATGTACTCAGTGGTTCTTACACACCAAGATAGCCTCGATCTCTTCTTGAGACACCGGTGTCCTTTTGGGTTGGTCGGAAGCCTTTCCTCCCACCGACATGTTGGATGGAGACCTTGAGAAAAATGTTTGAGAAGCATCTCCCACAGCAGATGTTTCTTGATGCTGAGATGCAGCACCTGAATAGGAACATCTTGAATTAGGTAGATGCACAGGAAGACTTAAACATTAATCCATGTCTTGGGTGAAATTCAAACATTTGATGCATCATTAATGCATAAAATTCAATTTCAACATATTAAGGCCCATAAGTTGAATCACTATTTAGTTCTCCCCTTCTCAAAAAGGAAAGCCAACGCTAAGCATGATCAAACTTTACTGTAAACAATACATTCCAATGTTTCCCAAATGGTTTCAAGGAACTATACCTGTGTGTGTGAGAGAGAGAGAGAGAGATCATGCATCAACAATTCTCAAATGAAATTTCAAGCTTGTGTAGAACCAATCCCTGACACTTTACTATAGTTAAAATGGAATCAATGACAAGTCCAGATATCTACCTGAAGCAGTTGCTCCTTTATACACGAATGTCCAACATACAACCAATTCATCAACCATACTAGCACTCACTGATTTAACTAACTGATCACAGTTCATTTCCCTCCATAATTACACAAAGAATGGAGAAAGAGTTTTGACTGAAGAATAGAAACATCTAGTACAACATATTTGCTCTAGTTTGGATCATATTCACAACCTCCAAAAAAGAAAAAACGGCAAAAGCAAAATCCTTTCGTAAATCTTAAAAGTATTAAGACTTGCTAAAAAATTATAATCCAGTTTTATTTGCCAATATTTCCCATTACACAAGAGTCCCAAAGTATGCATCCATAAATAAATTTTCATTTTCTTTACAATTGAGTAGACAACGCTCCCTTTCTGATAGTCTTTCTAAATTATTTCCTCTAAATCGAAAATTAGATCTTTGAGGGGCCACTCTTAGAGTGACATTCCTAAAGTTCATCATCCTTTGATCCATCTACACTATGAAGATAATGAGAACATTGGGATAAAAATAAAATAGAAGCTAAATTAGAAATAATAAATGAAAATATAAAAATTAGAACAGCAGAAATAAAACATACTAATTAAGATATAGAAGATTTTAACATACAGATTAAAGAATTATTAGATTTAAAAGTAATAAAACCGTCTAGTAGTCAACACAGATCAGCAGCCTATATAGTTAGAAATCATAGTGAAATAAAAAGAGGAAAAACAAAAATGGTTATAAACTATAAAAGATTAAACAACAATATTGTAGAAGATGGATATAAGATACCAGATAAGGATATGCTAATAAATAAAATACAAAATAATAAGATATTTTCTAAATTTGATTGTAAATCTGAATTTTGGCGAATGAAAATGATAAAAGATTCTATTCCTTGGACAGCTTTTACTACTCTATTAGGACAATTTGAATGGTTAGTCATGCCTTTTGGATTAAAAAATACACCCTCTATTTTTCAAAAAAAGATGGATAGTATATTTAATTCTCTTCCATTTTTTGTGTATATATAGATGATATTTTAGTACATAGTAAAAACTATAAAAAAAATATATGAAACATCTAGAGATAATCTTGAATAAATTTATAGAAAATTGTTTAATTATAAGTAAAAAGAAGATGAAAATAAATAAACAAAAAATTGAATTTTTAGGAATAATTTTAGGAGACAGAAAGATTCAGTTAGAGCCACATATAGTACAGACAAAATTGAAGAAGCCAAGAAATTAAAAGCCTTTTTAGGAATATTAAATTATGCTAGACATTTTATTACAGATTTAGGAAGGAAAATAGGACCATTGTGTAGTAAATGACAAAAGTATTTTAATCAATCAGATATAGAATTAGTTAAAAAGATAAAAGCAGAAGTTAAAAATTTACCATCATTAGAGTTACCATTAGATAGTGAATATAAAATAATAGAAACAGATGGTTGTGAATTAGGATGAAGAGGAATTTTATATTCCAAACCAAATAAATATAGTAATAAAAAAGAAGAAAAAAATTGTATATATACTAACGAATACAAGATAAAAGGAAAATATTTAACTAGTTTAGATTATGAAATAATGATCATTATACATAGTATAAAAAATTTTAAATTATTTTTAAACATTGAATTTACAATTATAACAGGTTGTGAAGTATCCCGAATAATTGTGAATTTGGTATTAGAGCCAAGAACAGTAAAAAACTATATAGTTTATGAAAAGAATCAAGTATTTAAGTTTCGAATTTTTAGGAAATTATAAAAGAAAATATAACTTAAAAGCAGCTTCTCTAATCTGTAATTTTGATAATAAGTTTAGACATACTTTACATAGTGAAGATAAACAGTTAAATAATATTGTAGACTTGTAAATTTAGAAAGGATCAATTCAAATAAAAGAATTGAAACTTTCTTAGAAAATATAAATAAAAATATAAAAATTTTAGAAACTAATCTAGGATATATTAAAAACCAAAATACTAAAAAGAAAATCTAATAATATAGGAGAAACGGAATCTAGTCCTAATTTAGAAAAATTGGAAAGCATAGTTAAAGCATTAGAAAATAAAAAGTCGACAGATAATAAACAAGATTTAGATAATATAATAAATAAACTAGAAAAATTAGATATAGGTAAAACTAAAGAGCCTAGTAAATTTAAGAAAACTAAGTAGACCTATACATAATGAATAAAGGAAAACAAATCGTTGTCAGTAGTAGTAAATTATAGGTAATCCTTTATTAAGACATTAAGTAGAAAAACAGAATCGGAAACAAGACTAGAATCTCTAATAGATATATAAGAACAAATAAAAATGTTTAGACAAAATAAACTGAAATTAGTGAAAGCTTTAAACATATATAAAAAATGAAATTTACTTAGCAAATCTTTAATATATCAATATTATGGTGAAAGATATGTTTCATGTACATATGAAGATCAATTTATATCTCTAGATTTAATAGAAAAAGAATGTTATAAAGAAATTGTTAATAAAAATCTTCAACAGACTCATTTAAGATTAATAATAATAGGAGTAAAAGGGCTTTATAGAGAAAATTTAAGAGCTAAAGTCTTAGTATGTTTATATGACAGTAGATTCGGATATAGAACAAGGATTATTAGGAAACATAGAATTAGATATGAATAATAAAGGCGAAATAATATATTTTACACCAGACTATTTAGTTAGAACAAATAATTTCTATAAAGATATTAAAATAGGAGTAAAAAGCAAAGGATATCAAATGAAAAGAGATGAGGATAATTTATTAATTTGCACAGGATTCATAAGAAGATTTAGTGAAAATAGTACTACTAATTATAAATTAGAAAATAATCAAATAATTACATTATTATGACAAAAAAGTATAAAGGCTATCCCAACAAAGAAATTCTCTTCAGAAACGTATGGAAGATTAAATTGAAACTTAGGAAATTTTCTACAAAAATCAATATTAATACCAGAAAATAATATTATGTACAAAAATAGTAATGGAACTTTAAGTATTAGATTTGGAAATTATAATTATCAAATAAAACAGACACTGCATAATGAGAAAGAAAATGAAGGAGAATGTGGATATTTTGAAATAGATGACTATGAAGGTGAAGACGAAATTAATGCCTTTGACGAAGATAGTGAAGAAGATGAAAGTGAGGACGATGAAAAAGAATTTGGATATATAGATATGGAATATTACAGAAATCTTAGAAAAGTTAGAGAAATAGAAACTAGAATGTTAATAGAAAAAGATCAAGTAGAAATAGAAACCAAGATGGAAGAAACTAGCAAAAGAGATAAAATGGAAACAGATCAAGAATTTGGAAAAAGAAAAGAACTCATAAATACAGAATACGATATAAGAGGTAAATATCATTTTTCCCCTACAAGAGATTTTGAATGGACTGATAAAAAATATAAAAGCCTAGGAAAAAGACAAACGGAAGAAGAATATAGTTTACCATTAGCAAGCGATAGAGGATTAATCTTAGAGTTAAATAATTGTAAACCACAAGACAGATCTAGTACTATAACTAAATGAGAAAATTCTGTAATTAGAGCGTATAACAGTGTAACTATACAAATGACTATAGAAGAAATGTGGGCTTGCTTAGAAACTTATTTAGGAAAGACTGCTTTAGATGTATACGTTATAACAAAAAGACTAAAACCATATGAAATTAGATTAAGAATGGCTGGAGAAGATAATCCCAAAAATTTTACAAGCTTTATTAGAGAATTAATTATAAGTTCTGATCCCAGTAGAGATAACACTTATGAACAAAATAAAACTTTAGAAGACTTAGAAAAATTAAGTATTAGTAATATGAAATACATACAACCATTTTTGTTAGATTTTGAAAGATTAACAAGCGCAGCAGAATTAGCATTAGATTACCCTATAGTTGAAAGATTATATAGAAAGATACCACCACCTTGGAATGATAAAATTAGAAAGAATATAGAGTCAAACCCAACAAGGGAAATAACTTAAGTGTCACTATAAAATTTATAACTGATAAATTAAAAGAATATTGTGTAGAGGAAGTAGCTAGAAAGTAGATAAAGAAATTAAATTATTCTTTTTGCTCAAATTTTTATACACCACAGACATATGATTATAGAAGAAGAAAGAAAAAATTGTATAAAAAAGAGAAAAAAACAAAAATTAGACAGTATTAATGTCCTAGCTAACCATTTTAGACAGATTCATAATCAAATAGAAAGCAAAAATTTTAGTTTCTTTACAATAATTAAAGGTAGAAAGCCTGGAATATATAATTATTGACTATAAGTACTACAATAAGTAGAAAGATTTCCCGACCCCCTTTCAAAGGATTTTATACGCTTGAAGAAGCTTTAAATTTTTGTAGGGAAATGATATGAATTAATTTTCATATATCCGAAAGAATTAGACAGACCATGCAACCCCTCTCTCAAACTTCATCATCATCTTCATCAATACAACTTTGTAATAGTTGTGAAACTATAACCAAAGTTGTTAGAAATTTAAATCTTAGAAAGCATTCTTTAAAAGAAAGACTACAACTCCTTGAAGATCAAATTTCTTCATCCCAACAAACTATTAGTAAATATCAAAATGAGATTCTTAAA